ATCCCTTTCTAAATCATATGTGAAGATCCAATCTTTTTTCCTTCTATGCCACTCATCTATTATTGCTGAAATATGGCTCTTGTAGTCTTGTAGTTGTATCTCTAACCTTTGGATAACCTGGTGAAGTGATTCTTTTTCATTTAATACTTTGAAGTGTTTTTTTCTCTCTTTTGCGAGCATGACTTTCAACCTTTCCTTTTCATTTTGACATTCCACCAATCTTGCTGAGGTTGTAGAGTATAATCCCTTTCAATTCTGACATTCTTGAGAAATTCTGGTGGTCTCCTCTTACTTTTCTTGAGCTTTGCCCTTCCATTGATTCATTTTCTCTCAGAGCTCATCCATTTCGCGTTGCCGACTAAGGTAAGACTTGGTGACTTTTTCAATTTTGAATTGAACTTGTAACCTTTTATTTTTCTGGTGTAGATCCTTCAAATTACTATTGACCACTTCCTATTCTTTTATGACTTTTTCTAATCTACTTTCTTATATCTCTGCTTTATATTTCAATTGCCCTACTTTCTCATGAAGTCTCAAATTTTTTCTTCTTAGCTTCTAGTTCTTTCTTAACAAGCTCAACTTTTGATAATTACACCTCTTTTGAAAGATTAACCAATTGATATGAGTTGTCATCAGGAGAGAGTATTATGTCTCTAGGCCACCTTATTTTCTAAATCTGGTAATCATAAGTGACTTTATCGATGAGAGGCCCTAACCTTATTCTTCATGTTCTCTTCCATGCGTGGATCAATTGCTTCAAAGTTCTTGATGGATTCGATTCCCCATAAATGAATTCTACTTGGACCAGGCCATGAGTAGCAAGAACCAACTGTTTTACACCAAATTGCCTAAGCACCATTAATGAAGCATAACTTATAACACCCCATAGCCCTAATAATGGTATCCCTGGCTCATTTTCTCCATGATGCAACAAGGGCACACGAGGCATCCAAGACGCCATCTATTCGATTTCATCCCAAGTAAGCCTTCGCAAGAAAATGATCCACTCTTCCTTAGTCTTTAATGTCGACCATTTGCTTTTACAAAACTCTTCAATCGGTGCCTTATTTCGAAGATATGATTTCGAAAATGCACTCTTTCCACACTTGAAATGACTTGTAACCCATACGTATAATAGAGATGCACATCCTATGAATCGTCCTTTTCTATTTCATCGACAGAAATTCAATGACCTGATGGTTTCGGCTAGGACTGCTGGAGCGAGATTAATTGTTTGTATTTTAATTTACTTGAAAAAGTCTACCACAGCTATCTCAATGTAACCCAAAGTCTTCGGATAGATTACCATGCCATACAATGCTAAAGCAAATATAGCCATACCTTGATCATCATTTAAATGCTCCTGAATGAAGTTTCAGAGAAAGTCTCAATGGATGCCGAGATGTTCACCTTTAGGCTTCACAAAGGAATCGATGGTTTCTACTTTAACCCCCATAAACTTGGCTAACTTTTTACGATAACTTGATTTTGGCTTTCGGGTAAATACTTTATCTAGACATTGAAGTTCTATCCCGAGCAAAATCGAATACTTTTCGATAGTTGGCACCAAATCTTTTTGATTAAAAGTAAAGCATCTATAGGATGGATCTCAAAACTGTATAGCTATCTTGACCAACTGTTCATCAATCACTACTGAAATAAGGGATGCAATCTGTCCATACTTTTTACAAAAGCTTTTTTTTTTCTTCACTTAACTGACTTCAGACAACAGCTAACTCTTTTAAATCATTCTGTGTGAGACTAAATGCACTTTCTCAGGTAATTCACATACATAACCGATAGGCAAACAATCTCTATCCTTTTGTTGAGCTTCTTTCGATCAAACATGTACTTCATTATACGGCTCACATGGCACACTAACTGAGGATGAGCAAATTTGTAGTTCTATGGGATCCATGAAAACTTCTTGAGAAAAATATGTCATAGAGCAAATATCTCGATGCAAAACTATATGATATGATTAATGCAAAAAAGAAAAAGAAAAAGAAACAAAATTGAGTTAGTGTGAGGATGTGGTTTAAGAAAAAAATATTTTTTTATTTTTTAGTGTTTTTTTTTATTTTGTATTATACACAACTTTTATTCTTAGGTATTTCTTACATAAGGCTAGTGTCATAGGCTTATTATATGCTGGGTTTGGATTGACAGGATCTAAAGGTTCTCAAATTGTTTCTCACTGTCGTCCATGTTGGACTAGTAAGGCACCCTGATCCTCACCCATTACAGGCTATGAACGAAAATGGTTCAACTCGAGTGAAAGTATTTCACTTGCCATTGCGGAGGTTATCACCTCACAAGGGCATAGGTACTTTACTTCCTCTTATAAAGGATGGGGCTTGGGTATTAGAGCTCATGCATGAGATGTATCATGTCATTGTGTGCAAATATATCTTAATTTATTGAGAGTAATATATACAAAAAAAATAAAACATAAGAGGCATAATAAAAGAAATGTGTGTGAATTTTTTACTTTTTATTTTTGATTTGTTTTTTTTAATTTTTTTTACCTTTTTTACAGAAAATAAAAAATAAAAATTTAAGAAATTGATTAAGACTGTTTAAATCAAAATTTGAGGATAACAAGTAGTCAATTTTGGCCTGACTCTCTAAAATAAAAGGCAGTCCCAGCGGAGTCGCCAAGTTATCGTAATAGTTTTGTGTCCGCCCGACGAATTTGAAAACGAAATAAAAAATAATGGAGTCATCACCAATCTTTTTTTGGCTAGGTGCGATTGGCCACCTATTAAAACATATCATTTTAATAAAGTTTTAAAATTAATTAAAATTTATTAAAAATATAATTTTACGGTCTGCGAAACAGTCTGGGTTCAGGATTTGGCTACGCGTGGGAAAGGATTAGCACCCCCACAGCGCCCGTTAAAAATGGTAATAATTAACAACGTGTTATCCTTTGATTTTGATAAAAATAGTCCAATTTTCGGTGTTCAAAAAATAATTTCCTTGATTTTTTATTTATTAGAAAAACAATTTTATTCTTAAGAAAAATAAATTAAAACATTTTTATTGAAATAATTATTAAAATATTCCAGTACGTTGGTAACATTAGAAGAACTTTTTCTCACCTAGAGATTTTTTAGGCATCGCTTCTCGGAATACCTTAGAATCTCATCCTCGGAGGCTCAAATTTACTTTTCATAAAAAATGTCATGCATGTAATGCAAAATGTTACCATATGGATGCACACATTTTATTCTCCTTTGTTAGAAATTTTATTAATTATTTTATTAATATTTATTTTAATTGAAATTTTGAAGAAAAATGAATTTAATTATATTGAAGATTTTCTTTAAATATTTTAATACACTGGTAATATTTTACAAAAAATCTTCTCATCTAGGGATTTCTTAAAGCATCTTTACTCGGAATACTTTTAGAATCCTATCATCGGATAAAATTTCTTTTCTTCTTATTTTTATTACTTATTTTTAATTTATTAATTAATTTTTATTTATAAAAAGAAAATTTTTATTGTATTAAATTTTTTTTTATAAATACTCAAATACATTGGTTGTATTAAAAAAAATTTTCTCACTTAGAGATTTCGTATGCATCACTATTCGGAATACCTTTGAATCTCATTGTCGAATAAAAATTTCTTTTTCCTACATTTTTTATTAGTTTAGTATTATTATTAAATTTATTTTTATTATCTTTAACGTTTATTTTTAAAAAATTAACAAAATTATAAAAAAAATTAACCACATATTTCATCATTTAATCTAACAAATATAAATATTTTAATATGCATAAATATTAATAAAATAATATTAAAAAAATAAGAAAAAATTTTTTAAAAAAATTTAAAATATTTTAATATGATAAATAATATTAAAATAATATGCATCCGATCGGCTCGACGGTTTGGGTGCGGTTCGGCTTAATCTGGGTGCGGTTTGGTTGGTTCAGTGATTCGATACCTGTTCGGCTCGGTCTGGTCTGGCGTCAGAGGTTTGGGGTGATTCGGTTCGATTTCAACGATTCGGACGGACTGGTCAGGTGCGGATCCTCAGGGGTTGAAACGACGTCCTCTTGGGCATTATTGAAATGACGTCGTTTTGGGCATTATTGAAACGACGTCGTTTTGGGTTTAGTCTTTTATATAAAAGTCAAAAAAAAAAATTTCATTCATTATTTTCCTTCAAAAAAAAAAAACCTTATTTGTTTTTACTTAGCCAGAAAAAGAAAAAAAAATCACCGGCTGGCCGCTCCTCTGCCGTCGCTGCCACCGTTCGTTGATCACCGACCACCATCGCCGGTGGTCGAAAAATTTTACAATTTCCTAAAATGTTTCTTTTAACATCTTAAGCACAGATCCAACCTTCTTTTCACTAAAAAGAGTTCTAAATTCTCCAGATCTACTCTTGAAGTTTCTGTCAAACCTTCCTTTTTTTTTTTTTGAAATTGACTTTGTTTTTTCTTTGTGCAGGAACTCTCGGCGCTGGGTTCCTCCCTATGGGGAGGATTATATTTTTTTTGTTTATTTTTTTACATTTTTTTTATTTTTGTAGCGTACCTCACCGTTCCCCCTCATCTTTTTCTTGTTCGGCCAGGAGCTCATTTATAAAGCTCCAGTAATGAATGGCATAAGGCTCGATATGGGGTGCAAGCACAAGCCTTATGCTGCCTTTATTTGTTTTTGTCTTATTTGACAGTGAAAGTAGTGGATAAGGTGATGGATAATAGGGTAAGGTGATTAGCGGGGTGGGGGGTAGGGCATGGTGAGGGATGGGTGGTAGGGTATGATGGTAGTGGTACCGGGAAGGCATCACTGCCATCCCCCATTTTTTTCTATTCTGTTTATTTTTTTTTTGTTTTTGGTATTTTATAATTTTTTTAATATTTTGTATTTTAGTTTTTTTTTATTTTGTATTTTATATATTTTTTATTTAATAATATTTAATTTTTTTTTATCAGACAAATTTGATGTCCACACATGGCTGAAGGTCAATTTACCCAAAGTACTCTCCACTTCCTTATCATTCTTGAACTGAGCCTGCCGTCGTGCTTGGTTTTCTAACATCTGGATCCTGCGTGACTGAATCTGAGACTGAACTCGCACCAAAAGCTGCATATACTTCATGGCATTCATAGTTTGGCGTTTCACATTCTGACCTCTCACAGCTCCTTGAAGCCTCACAAGGCCTTTCAAAGCTCTAAAACTTCTCCTTGCCTGCATTAGAAGTTTCAAGATAATCAAGTTGGATTATCAAATATTGACGCAATTAACTTTTGACCCAAGCAAACTTCAGTTATTACTAGAGCCCATTTAAAAGTTGTTCACATCAAATGGCTTTTTACATTTCTGCCTATAAGGCTTCCATGGGGAATTATGTCTATTAACAATATATTAACACCAGCAGGCGGAAAAGCAGAGGGGAAAGTGACCAAATATTGACCAGACTTGCATAACCAATAACTTCGCACAACGATATTTGTCATAAATCCTTAAACCTTGAAATCCTGAACAGATTAATTCTTCTACACTGTTATTCAGTTCAACTGACTAATATTACTCATTTTTAGTCTTTTTATTCACCATGCCTGTTTTCTTCAGCCGTTCATGCCCTTGTGCAAATTGACCATGAAGTAAGGCTAGCACATATTTCATCACGAACTCCATCTAAAGAATTAAGAAATGATTGGTAAGTTGGAAGGGCTTCTTCTGTGATCATATCACCAACCAAAACAACAAAGTAATCATCAGGAATCTCCTTTGTCCTTTCCCTTAGTTCTTTGAATTGCTCATCAAATTCATCAGAGGATGTGGGATCTGGAAGAAAATCTTGGGGTTGCCAACATTTCTCAACTGGTTTGAGATGGATTAGAAGGTTGTTCTCAGCCCATTCCTCCAAGGATTTGAATATCTCAATCTTCTGCGGTGGCATTGTATGTTTGACCTCAACATGCACCTTCTGACGAGGCATGAAACGCTTTTTGTGATTCTCAACCTGATCTCTGGATTCAAGTAAACAAATTTAAGATTAAATTCTAAAAAAAAAAAATTGAGAAAACTATTCCCAACACCACCAAACTGAAAGAAATCACAAACAGATAAAGAATTATTATTGTTGCAAGTGCCATGGATAATTCAGGTCAGTGATCTTAGCAGATTAGAAAAACATTTACTTGCATGGGAAAAGTGTTCTTTTTCACAGCTCTTTGATAGGATGAAGAATATATATATATATATATATATATATATATATATTTAGAAGCTGGGAAAACGGATGAACTGATTTAGGAAGCTGACAAATGAGGTTTGTTTTCAATCAAAAAGTGGTGGGGTTTATTTGGTTGTTCCTGATTAGTGATTTGGTTGTAGAACTCAGTATTCATTGTGAAGGCATTGATTTGTCTGTAATTTGTGCCATGTCAAGTCTGGAAAGTAACTCAGTGATGTTGGAAGCTATAGCCCACAAACATAACTTCCCTAAAACTCAAGAAAAAGAAAAATAAAAAATCGAGATAAATGATTTACAAGAACATAACAAGGGTTAATGTCAATAATTAAAAGCTTAATATGATTTTTTTAATTTTAAAAATTTTTAATATGATATTTAAATTATAAATTTTTTAATTAATGTGATATACTTACCTCTAATATAATTAACTTTAAATGATAATACATTATTAATAAACAGTCTTTCAAATATTATATTTTAATAAATTTATAATTTAAATATCATAATAAAAAATTTAAATATTTTTTTATAATTTAAAAATGTTCGAAATATTAATCCAAATAATATAATTAAAAAATTAATAAAAAGCAAAAAAAATAAAAAATAAAAAAGGAATTAGACGGTAACTTGGTGCCCGAACAAGGAGCTTTGGAGGCGATGCAAAAAGTTGGAAGAGCTGAGGATGGGCATTAATGGAAGAGCAAAAGAAGTGAATTTTTGAGACTGAAAAGTGATGGAATTGAATTTCAGAGACATTTTTTTTTCCTTTTTTTTCTTTGGGTTGTTTGCTTATTTGGGTTTTTGGCAGCTAAAAAAAAAAAACCTGATAGAAAGAGCCAATAATTACATCATTTTTAATGCATTCGCCAAAGTTTCTTCTTGGCAAGGAAGAAAAAAATGTTTATTTGGTGTAGGGAAAGAATGCTCCCAATGGTCAAGAACTCATGATTATATAGTCACAAGTGGAGTAGGTTTAGAGGTGAATAGGTCTAGAGATGTTTATAGGTCGACTCGGTTTAGGTTGGGCTTATATTTAATATTAATAATTTATTTATTTATTTAAATTTAATTTGATATAATATTTTAAATTTTAAAAATTTTTTAAGATTAATATAAATTGAAAAAAATAAATTTTAAGTCTATCCACTGAACTTAATTTATATAATAAAAAAATTTTAAATTTTTTTTAAAAATAAAATATAAAAAATAAAAATCAACATATATATATATTTATATAATTATAATATTTTAATTATATATAATTTATTAAGGTTGAGCTCATGCTTTAATTTCTTTATTTAAGACTCAATCCAAAATTTAAATAAAATTAAAAATTATATCTAAATTTATATAACAAATTTTAATTTCTTATTTAAGCCCTCTTAAAATTTGAGTGAATCTTTAAATTTATAAGAATAACCCGACTATTAAATACATCCAAATAAGTTAATATATTTCTCATATAGCATTTAATATTTAGAATTAATATACTTTTGATAAGTAGTTAGACATCATTTTTGGGTAGATAATCGTTACACGTCAATTCATTTTAGGTTTCGTACCGTTTATTGAAATCAATTTAATACCCTATGATAAAAAATGTCAAAGTGTAGGATACGACATGTTTAAAACAATTTTAATTCTTATTTCTAAAATTTTATATTTTATTTATTCTCATATTTATATAGAATAGATATCAATCATTTTAAATATATAATGCATATGAATAATTTTTATATTCGTATTTTTTTAATTATTTAAAATTTTATTTTATCTTACATATTTACGTAATATTTTTATAAATGTATAGTAATATATATTTTTAAATATATAATAATTTTAATTAATTTAAAATAATAATTAGATTATTTAATAAAAAATTTAATACTAAATATAAATAACTATATATGTAAAATATAAGTGCGGGACGGATGTAACGGATAGGCAAAGCATATAAAGTTTGCCTTTTGCGAGTAATCAAGTTTGTCATTTGCATCATTAATGAAATTGGAATGTCTAACTTGTTTTTGAAGTTTGATCTTAATTTGCAGGCAGCGTGTCAACCGAGGAGGTTGTGATTAGGGTAAAAGAAATTATAATAAAAAAATTCGCCAAGCTTTCAAAAAGTACATATTTAAGAGTGACGTTGCTAGCCAGGGAGGGGGGGTTTAAAAAATTAAAAAATCGAAAATCTATTTGAAAAAAAGTTTTGGTTTGGATTAATTTTTAATTTGATTTGAATTAAATTTTAATATTAAATGTATATATTAAGTTAATATAAAAATTTTTAAAAATCAAATATAATTGAATTATATATATTTATTAATTTATATATATTTTTAAATTTTTATAAAAAAATAATTTTTTATATAAATTTATTTAAATATATTAAAAAATTTATGAAAATAATATATATAAAAATTAAAATTTTAAAAATTGATAAATTAAATTGAATCAAATCGATAAAATTTAATTTTGATCAAATTAATTTAAAAAATTAATTTAAATGTAAATCAAATTTTAAAAATTTATAATATTATAAATTATTCTAAAAAATTAAATCAAATTTGAACCAATTTAAACCGTTACTTATAAAAAACTATTTTAGTGTGGCAAAAATATTTGTTACATCAACCCCAACACCTACTATGATGGGAATTAAATGATGATCACATGGGTGATACGTAATACATAAGTGAAACATGTGTTTGTGAGTTCAAATCATATATATATATATATATATATATATATATATTACAATATACATAGTTATTATATATTAATTACTGACGTAAATGTTTATATGGATAATTTTTTTTTTAATACGTAAGATAAATCTTAAAATTTTTTATTATGTTGACACATATGATATTTATATATTTTAAATATTATTAAATTATCTAAAATTTTAAAATTTAATCAAAAATCAATTTAAATTATAATAAAATTCTATTATCCTATATCACTTTATCTTAATTTAAAATTAATTTAAAAATAATTTATCTTTATAATTTATCTACAATTAATATAGGTATTTAATTACTATAACAAACTTAAATTAAACTATGAAATATTAATGCATCTAAATTTGGAGACAATTAATCTAAATATGTATTATATATGTTTTTCTCATGCATGTACCCACAAAAAGATATTTTATATATTTCATTATGCCAAAAAAATAAAAATAAAAATTAATATTTCAAAAATAGACTAGCCTTGATACGTATATATGCTTATAAGTATAAATATATATGTATGATATATGCTTTGCTACATAAAAAAAATGGAAATAGTGGGCAAAATATAAAACTTGTGTCGAGGTAGAGCCACTTTGTCAATGGTAAAGTAAGTGTATTACTTTTAAAAATTATCAAAATTACGTAAAACAAATTGTTTGTCATAAAAAAATGCTTAAAGAAAATAAGATAATTGTGAGTATTTTAACTTATTATTTTTAAATGGTTGTGTATGATAATGACTAACATAATATTAAAACATATAAAAAAAATTATAAGATAAAAATATAAAATATTAAAATTTAAATATTATTTATCTGATTAAATATAATTTATAGATAAATTTATTATTTGAATAAAATCTATCTGTTATATAGCTTGATTCTTTATCCTCTTTCCATTTAATTTATTTTCCAAACAATACTCCATTTTCTCACAGATTTTAACGTTACTCTTTTATTGCTTTTCAATTCTAGGTGAATTTATTTTTTATTTTACCTGATTTTATTTTTTATCAAATTTTAACCAAACACAAACCATATCAAAATTGATAGCCAACCTTAAATCAATCTAAAGTCTTAAAATTCAAACTAACTTTAAGTATCTTAAAATCATTGTCGTTATAATGAGTAGGGTTAGCATCGGGTCGGGTTCGGGGCGGGTTTTGCTCACCCCAAACCCGACCCGATTTTAAAGCTTTATTAAACCCGAACCCAATCCTACCCGAATTTTTTTTTTATTTTTCATACCCGAACCCGACCCGACCCCGATACCATGTAAATCGTACCCGACTCGACCCAAAATTAATAAAATATTATTTTTTAAAATATAAAATATTATTTTGTAAATATAAATATTTAAAAATATAATTATATAAATATATATAATAAAAATTAAATAATTAATTAAAAAATAATTTTTTATATAATATCGGGTCGGGTCGGGTTTTAGGCAAACCCGAATCCAACCCGACCCCAATTGTTTCTTTATTTTACCCAACCCCGAAACCCGAATTTCAAAAAAAAAACCGACCCCGTGTGGTCGGGTCGGGCCGGAACCCGTCGGGGATGGGTTAACTCGCCATCCCTAATAATGAGTAACAAATAGAGATTGTGTCTTTGCTGTGAAAAAATGACCACTAAATGACCAAAAAACTACAAGAATCAAACCTCCAATCACTTGAACGAAGCAAGAAACCTCAACGTAGAGAAATCACAAATTTATCCCTTGGCTTAACTTTTGCCGCATCTTCAGCAATCTCAAGGCGTTTTATCCAATTGATACCACGTTCCCACATTAAAGGGCCTACCGTAATTTACACGGGTAAGCACTCCATTTATATTGCTTTTAACCTAAAAACATTTTAACTTACCATACAGATGTTCTCTGAAAGTTTCATTGTGCATGAACTCATAAATAAACATACTTCTCCCATCTTCTTGACAATACCCATGCAACTGTACCAGGTCCCTATGATGTATCCTTGAAAGAAGACTCACCTACCCCATAAGTAAAAAATTCACATGAGTTTAGCTTTAAATGGCTAATTAGAAATATGACAATCAATGCAACCTAAATAACTTAAAAGCCTCAAAACCTTCTGTCTAAAATGTAAGAAAAGAATGCTGACTGAAAGCAAACTTGCATGCTACCAATTCCATCATGGTTTATCGGTAAAATTCTAGCAACAGATTCCAAGTATAATTTTTTTCAAATTTTAGCCAGTCAACTCATATAGAACCAGTACATTAGTCGAGGAAATGCTCAAGCAGTGGTGAATCCAGGATTTTTTCAGAGAGTGTCTATTTATAATATATATATATATATAAACTATCAACGAAAAAAAGTGTCCATAAGGAAATTGTGGAGGAGTACAAGGAAAATTTTCTTTCAAATTTTCTTATTTTTCGATCGTTTAGGTGTCCATGAGAATTTGGGAGGTGATTGGGAAAAAATTTCCCTTCAAATTTTCTTATTTTTCAATTTTTGAGAGTGTCCATGGACATCCTAGCTCATAAGGTAGATTTACCGATGTGCTCAGAGTTTTATATAAATAATATAAGAATAGAAAATATTACAAGTTCTGTCCTTAGGCTGTTTTAGGTGCTGCACTTAGTCAAGAACTCTCTATTCGTTATTAATAGACCTTAATCTTTGGATTTATAATTGAGTTAGCTTCTGACCCTCTTTCAACTGCTGTGAAAAAATGACCACTAAGAGACCTAAAAACTACCCAACTTTCATAAGTTAAATTAAAAAAAAATTTGAGAATCAGATTCAAAGTAAAGAAAAACGTTGAAAGTAAAAGCAATTTTCCTTGACAATTTTAGATATTAACTTACAATAAAAAGGGATCTTCATAAGCTACAAATGCAGGGTTTCACTTTCTAGGTAAAGTGACAGGGAGGAATGAGAAAATGAGACAAATGTGAACATCCATTTTCCATGCTTGCTAGAAATTGGCGAATTAATTTTGTTTCTAAACTTAATTATCGGAATTAAATACAAAGGAGAAGAAAAAAAAGGTATAACCTCAAAATACTAGGTTTATTTGATCAATTTTGGCAACCATAGTTTTTTGAAAGATGTCGAATTGGAGTTAGAAGAATAAAGAATGAATCAGAAAGCAGTAAGTTGCCTATTCGTTCAGTCAAACCACCCCTCAAAAGTTCGGCACAGCATAAATTGGCTGCACCAGGAAACCATCGAGGCTGAGACCGGTCATAAG